CTAAGAAGTCCACACAGATACCATGCTGAGAATATATGGGAAGAATATTCTGAACAAATATCTCTCCGTTGTCATCATCAAAAGCAACTACACCAATCCAGATCCAATTGAAATATAGCAGCAACTCAAGAATCCCCATATACTGAAGGGTCCCATCTGGAAACATCTGGTGGAAGAAATCTTCTTTGGTCTTGTCATTTATTATCGGAGATGAACCATATAGGATCTTGAGATAGAACACATGAAAGATGGGAATCTTGACGATAAATTGAATGGTGCACTCATTTGAAAGGTACTGGGTGACTTGCTATATAAATTTGTTCTACAAAAGTTTTTGCTCATTCACTGTATGCATTCTTAAATCCCCCCTCCTTTGGATATATATGGATTGTATTCAAAAATTACAAAATGGAACAGAAATAATACAAATCATATACAATCTACACTATCTTCTGAGGTATTGAAGGTAAAGCTAAAATTTAATTTTACTCCTTTAATTCAGCAATAGATCTGATCCTAGTCTTTGTTTCTTGTCTATAAAATGGTATTGAACATGTACAGAACATGAACATTTCTGGTGCTGCTGATCTCCTTACTGAGATGTTACTAGATATGGGATGACAACATCTGGACTACCAAATCTAGGCAAACAACTGATGCCAAAAAAATATGATGGTTTTCTCTGTTTTTGTTACAACCTACTGGTTGCTTGTATTACAAAGTGTAGATATGGTAAAAAACCTGTTAGAACTTCAGGTGAGATGATTGAGAGACCTCTTGGGGAAAAAAATTGGGAGACTGAAGACAGCTATGCATATTACGAAGCTCCTCTGACTATCTCTGGAGAAAGAGAGTATATGAGATCATATGATTACTTATCGCTGGATATATATTAAAAAATCAGACAAGACTCTAAAAAAATGAGATAGAATGTCATTTCAGGGGACTAAATAGAATAATTTCTTCTTAATAGACTTTAAAAAAGATGCTTGCTAAAGTTTTGAAGAAATTCAAGGCAAATGATAATGATGATTCAAATGAATTATAGAGCAAGGTTGATTTTTGTAAAAAGAAGGAATATAAAATTGGCTTACTTAATTGGGATTAAAATGATACATGTTCTAACTTTGAGGGAGTTATTTTTATATTTGAAAATGATGTTGCTTATTAGATATGCTCATAGTTAATGATGATTTTTTGTATATTTGTTATCTAATATGATTATTGTAGTGCTGTTTGGACTTTTTGGTGACATGTGATGAAGGTGGGAAGTTGTTATGTTAGTTATATTTTTTCTTTTCACTTTCTATTATATTTTGATTAACTTTCCCACACCATTGATTTTTTTATTTTGATTTATATTGTCTATTATTACCAGTATTGTACTTAAAACATTTAACAAAATTGTTAGTTAAAGAAAAACCTAAGGTTTTCTTTCTAAGGAAAGAGAAATATAATACATTTGATGGTACTCCCAGTTGAAGGTAGGTTCCTGGAACTGTTTTGGTTTCCCTCCCTTTTTGAATACACTATGACAAGAAAGCCTAAGATTTTCAAAGTCTCTCAAGAAAAGCTCTTAATCAAGAGGATGGATTGATACCTGAATAAATGGATAGACAATGCACTCATTTTAAATACATCATGGCTCCGAAGCTAATTTTAATTAAATTCAACATGCTACAACCTTCACGTAGAGTGATATAGATTAAAATATAAATTAAACCACCACCATACAAGTTCATGAGAGAGAAAAAAGCACAAATTGTATTCCACAGTCTAACATCCATTAAAAAAAATCTACTTAAACTGTTCTTCCTCACTGTTGTTCCGTACTTACCACTCACATGTGGAATTTTGTAGATGCTCAGGATGTTTGTCATGTGGAGACAGACTTCAGAATTAGGTCCCCCAATGACTCCCACAATGTTATTGTGAAAATCACATTTGTAGTTAGGAATGAATTTGTCCTTTGTGGATAGTAGTTCCATAGAAGCAAGATAGGTCCATCTTGCAAAGAAATGGCTGTTTAAAATGTGGAAGCCTAAACTCACATTGGGTAAGAGTTGGGCATTCTCATTTATTTCCTTCACAGCAAACGCCAAGGCCAGGATGTGCTGGTAATTCTGAGTAAATATCCTATGTCACAGGAAATTGTTTCGTGTGAGATCACATTTTTTAATACAAATTCTATTTAGACATAACCATATCAACAATCCATCCATCCATGGAAAACACAGTACTTCAAGTCAACTGCACAGATCAATTATAAAAAAAAATATTTTCTCAACTTAAATTATTTGAAAATTATTAAATAAACAGTGTCACTCTCACAGATACACCTGCTCAGTTTCACAAACCAATTTATCTTTATAGATATTATACTGATACTTACTGAATATAAAAACATAAGCTAAAGAGAAATAGCCTCTTTCATTTTTGCAAGCTTTGAAGAATATAACCAGAGGAGTCAAAATTATTCTTTCTTTAACATAGAGAATACCTATAATTTAGGGAACAATGATGTTCTTGCACTTCCATTAAACACATTCTATTAAAGTGTGTTTTACTATCATACTTTTCATGTGTCCTATCATCTCTCTCATAATATTTTTTTATTATTATTACATTGACTTTTTGCAAATGCTTGGAGAAGTCTCTGCTTTTTCTTGGCAAGGTTTTTTCAGAAATGGTTTGCCATTGCTAGCTTCCTAAGGCTGAGAGATAGTGGCCCAAGGTCAGGTGTCCTATCATCTCTCATCAGTTTTCATGTGTCCTATCATCTCTCTCATAATATTTTGGTTTTTTGTTTTAATTATATTGAGTTAATGATGACTTTTGGCAACTGCTGGCAGGAGTTTCTGCATTTTCTTGGCAAGATTTTTCAAAATTGGTTTGCCACTGCTTCCTTCCTAAGGCTGAGAGAGAGTGGCCGTAGGTCAGCCACTTCATTGAATGCCTAGGTTTGGAGAAGAGCTCAGGGTCTCCTAGTTTCTAGCCTGTTGCTTTAACAACTATATCAAATTGGCTCTTTCCTCATAACCTATATCCTCTGTATTTTCCCATGCTTCAATTAACACCATTGAATTTAGTGAGCTGTAGAGTTACCATTATAATTATGGGTACTAGATTTCTTTTAAAACCATTGAAAATTTTCTTCCTCATTCTTACAGTTTCTCTTTTGTACCTCTACCTGTTCATCAACCAACAAGCTTCGTAAGAAAATGAAAAGCAGCTAATACTACTTTTTCTGTGCTAAACAACTGAAACTTCTCCCTTCTCCCTTGAAGAATAAATATGAGCCAGAAGACATTGACAAAAGCATACATTTACATTGCCTAAAAGACTGACAAGATATCTCATTGCATTCTTTTGCTGTTTCTTCTGTAAATTGCACCTATAAGTGAGAACCCTACAAATAAGTTGAATAACTTGAGAACTTCATTGCATCCAAGCTGCTTACACAAGGTCATCATAACTTTCTTCAGAAGGTGGCATTTCATAGCTGATTGGACTTAAAAAAATGTAACTCTGAGAGAAAATGCCTGCAATAATGAAATGGCCTGGCTGGTAATACTTGTGGAGAATAGAAAGAGGTTCACCAACAGGACATTTCACAACAGGGACTTCATTCGGAGCTTCTATAGCTATCATCAGAGCCACAAATAACACCACTTGGTTTGGGAGTGTTCCTGTCTTCTTCCAGCATGCATGATCACTTATTGATGTTAAAATGATGTTCATTCCAGTAGCCACACTCAGCTGATCTAAAGCCAGACCTATGCAATATCAGTTAATAATAGTGATAGTAGTATAGCTCTGCCAGTCTTTTGCTTCAGTTTTGCATGAGGCATTACTATAGTTAACCTTTGTAGTACTCTCCTGTCCAAAGGGAATGTTCATGGATGAGGAGGAGATTCTACTGATCATATTTATTTAATAATTATGGTCTGATGGGGGAATAATGTCCAATTTGGAATGCTGAGTTCACAACAATCTTTTCAGAAGTCAACATGTTGGTGTTTATCACAGCTCAGCTGATATAGTCTTAATTTCTGAACTCATGAGAAATACCAATTATGTAATTTCCTTGACTAAGATAAACTCAGAAAAAAAATAAGTATAAAATATGTTCAAGAAATGGGATATATATATATATATATATATATATATATATATATATATATATATATATATATATACATATAAATTGGAAGTGTCTTGGTGACGTTTCGACGAAGTCCCATTCGTCATCTTCAGGCTGGTGTTTCTTCAGTTTCTTCAGAAAACCTGAATAACCAAAGACCTACACATATCTATATTTTATACACATATATGGGCGTACACATATCTATAATATATATATGTATGTATGTATGTATGTATCTATGTATGTATGTATGTATCTGTCTTTGGTTATTTGGGTTTTCTCCTGCGTCAAATTGGAAGTGTCTTGGCGACATTTTGATGAAGTCTCATTCATCATCTTCAGGCTGGTGTTTTCGGTTTCGTGCTTCTAGGAGCAATGTGTGATTGTAGCTGTTTCTTCCTTTTAACTGCCAATGGGGGTATGAACTGATTGGATGAGAGTTTGGCTGTGTTCTGATTGGTTAGGAGCTTGGCTGTGCTCTGATTGGATGGGGGGTTGGCTGTGCTCTGATTGGATGGGGGGTTGGCTGTGCTCTGATTGGTTGGGGGAGTATTCTGTTTCGGTGGGGGCTTTGTTGTGCTAAGGTTAGTCTGAGTTGCATGGGGATGTAAGATGGTGAGCTGCATTACTATTGTTTGGCTTCGCGTTCATGGTCATGCCTCATCTTCATGGTGGGTGTCAGTTTGCTTCATTTATGGATTGGAGAGGTTTAAAGTGGCTAATAATGCAGCTGTGGTCTGGCTTCTGGTTTGTGGTCATGTCTACTTTTGAGCAGGTTAAGGGCACTCCCATGGGGTCGCCGATCTCCAGCATCATAGCGGAGGCAGTGTTGCAGCAATTGGAGCACGTAGCGATGACCCAGTGTTGTCCTAAATTCTGGGCTCGCTACGTGGATGATACATTTTTCATCATCAAGAGGAGCCAAAAAGCTGGTTTTTGGGGCATACTTAACTCTGTGTGCGTGGATTTGCAGTTTACGGAAGAAGAAGAACACCAGGGTGAGTTGGCAAATCTTGATGTCCTAGTCCATCGCCAACCTAATGGAACCCTGAGGACTAGGGTCTACTGCAAATCCACGCACACAGATAGAATTCTGCACTATGATAGCAACCATCCAGTGGCCCACAAGGCCAGCTGCATTAGAACACTCTTCAAGAGAGTAGGCTCCCACTGCAACTCTGCTAAGGCTAGGATGGAAGAAAAGAAGCACCTTTTTAAGGTGTGCAGGCACAATGGTTACCCCATGAAGTTCATCAGGCACCATGGACTACCATCCAGACCTCCCCTCCCCATCAGGTCTCAAATAGAAGAACATACATCACAGAGACTTTGCATTACTCTCCCTTACATTAGCAACATCTCAGAAGCCATGGCTAGGCTATTGGCACCCTATGACGTGAGGGTGGCACATAACCCCAACCAGACGTTGCGATCTAAGGTGATGAGATTGAAAGACCCACTCCCCATCATAGAGAAGTCCAATGTCATTTACAGGATCAACTGTGAAAGTTGCTCTGCCAATTATGTGGGGGAGACCTCCAAACCTGTCAAAACTAGAATTCACGAGCATAAGTTGGCGGTAAGGAGAGGCAACCAATATTCCCAAATCGGAGTGCATATGCAAGAATCTGGGCATAGGTTCGATTTTAATAACATGCAGGTGATGGCCAGTGACAACACGAAGGGGGGCCGGCTCCTTAAAGAAGCGTGGCTCTCCAACGAAGAATCCATCAACCGACATGTGGACCTATGCCCAGCACATGTATCATTAAGAGCATGGGCAATGCGTGACCGTCCCTCTGGAGGAAAACAAAGTAACATTACGTGCCTTCAGCAAAGAGGGTTGACGGAGGAGACGAGCCTTGGAAATGCCCAGATAGGGAATAATTAGCAGCTGAGTAACTCTCCACCTGCTGAAACATATGCCCATCTCCCATGGGCACAGGAGTGTATTGACAACCAAGAGCCAACTGCCAATGAATCAAGGGTCTCCCCAGGAACAGCGAGGAGTTTGACAAAGAAGCGATCTTGTACAGACCCCAGACTATTAAACAATCATGATTTGAATGATTGGAATGTCACGTGTAACTCCACCAGCGATCCTGCAACTAACTCCATTCATGACATTTCCCTATTGAGCTGCTCTCACCTTGGGAATGCAGGAGAACTACGGGGAGATGGGGAGGCTGTTTGTTATAATCTTAGAGTCTCCACACACTCCCACAGACATTTGAGAGGAATGACCCCCTGCAGGAATGTACAAGGAGATGCAAGTCATGATCGCAAGGGCCCCGCCTCTCTCCCTTTAAGGAGGATTGCACACCCCCAAGTAATGAGTGAATGTATAAACAACAGTGTGGGGACAGCCCCCTCGGGAGAAGGGGTTAACAATCAACTTGTGGGTGCCACAAATTCTGGAGAGGATGTTAAAATCACCCCCATTGAAGAGAAAATAGAAAGGGGAGTTAACAAAGTGATACGAAGGATCAGGAAACAGGATGATACAAACACAATGGAATCCTGGGCTACGGAGACGAACAATGAGGATATAGTTGTGAAGGAGGATCGTAAACAGAGAAACAGGGGGAGGAGAATGGAAATAGGGAGTACTAAGAGGGAGCATGAGGAGAATAAACAACATAAATAAACAACATAAACATAGACAGTGCACATTTAACTACATAGAATTAAAGAGTCCCCCCGACTTACAGCCATACAAAGAAGGGAGGAAGAGCTGCGATATCGGCACAAGTAAGGAAAGTGAGGAAATTACAGCTTGCAATACAGAAACTACGATCAAAATGCAGATGGTTTGGCTGGGACCCATGACGAGGTCAAGAAGCCAGGTGCAAAGAGCGCCACATTTATAAATAGCTTCTCCCATCGACTGGACGCTACCCTGATGATGCTGGCAGAAGCCAGCGAAAGCTTGGTTTTATTCTGGTTTTATTCTATTAAAACTTTTTATAGTTTTGTAACTTTTTCCTTGTATCAGCTCAAACTAGAGCCATCCATATGATGTCACAGTTGTGACTGCTGCCTGTGGATGGCTCTAGTTTCCTTACACCAGTTCACCAAACCCTCAATCTCCTTGTGGTAAGCACCATTACCATATAATAGGCTCTTTCTCCTTTTATTTATTTATTTATTTTTGCTTTCCAATATATATCCTAGGAAAAGGGAGTTTAATTTTACTGAAGTAATACTTTATTGGTCACTATAATAAAAGTAGCGGATCAAATCCAAATACTATACATTTTCAATTAGGTTATTTTGATTTTATGCTGTGATTATATTCAACCAATATGATAAGGACTTGGAAGACAAATTTTAATTTGCTTAATTAATGATTAATTTGCTCTATCCAAGAAAGATTTTTTAATTTAATTTGTTCTATCTCGTTTTATTATTTAATGTTGTTGGACATTGACCGAATAAATAAATAAGTTTCAATTTCAATTTCATATGAGCAGTTGGATAGTCAAGCATTTAAGCTTTCTTTAGGCCAGCAATATATTTAAATAAAATATATGCTCCCAAATTCCAAAGAGAACAAATTTATCACATTTTGCTGATCTCTTAGCAGCCATTTGGTTTATGTTTGTATTTGATTCCATTTTAAACAGAAATAATCAATTATGTTAATCTTCTGAATTTTAGTCACAAAATATAATATAAATTTTAGTATTACTCCTGTTGTTATTTTTCTATTTGCAGTGACTCATTGATGTATTAATCCCAACACATTATCATTTGGATTAGGCACACTTAATCAAGTGGATCATTTGGATCATTTATTATCTGCCCTCATTTATGGGGCTCACTTCTTTGTCCACTACTATTTGGTTAACCAGAATAAAGGCAATGTAAACTAAACCCATTAACATTGATAAGTCATGCTCTAAAAGGAAATTTATTTTTAGACCTTTTGTATCCACAGTAGCAAAGGAGAAATCAACATAACCTACTCATTAATGAATTCAGAAATAAAGTTCTGCAATATTCACCACTATTCAGTAATAAATATTTGACATAGAAATGACCAAACCAACATAACACCCTTCTTCTGAAGTTAGTCCTTCAGAAGCTGAAGAGTGACAAACATGTTGGCAGGGATTGGAACATCCATTCCTTTATTTTCTCATCATGAGATACAGAGCTAATGCAAGGAAACTTGCTGTTTGAGTGAAGAGAAAGTACCTCTCTCAAAGATTGAGAGAACTTGGGAGAACTACTTGCCAAGGAGAACATGATGTGGGGAAGAACATGATGGGGAAGCTTAGTGGCTAAATGAGAATTCACCATTCACTATAAAGAGCATCCTAGCAATTGAAAGTTATGCCTTGGACTATCTCCCCAGACAAAGAACTATTAACTCCCCTTTTGACACTGAAGTAGTGCTATTTCTTATCTTTGTCCTGGTTTTCCACTTTATTGGGCTGCTTGAGGGAACCTCAGAATGACACATTAGGTATTGACTGTTGCATTAATCACTGAAACAATGTCTGGTTGGGATAGCAACTTATTCCAATGAAACTTAAGCCTCGTGAATATTTTATACTAGGCAGAGGTTTATGGACTAGCAGAGAGGGATTTGGGTCCCAGTCACCATACAAGCTGTTGAGTTATCCCATAGAACAATCTCATTCTACCTAATACTATTAGAAAGGAAAAGGCTACATTCAACCAAATTCAACTGCTTCTCAATATTAAAGAAATAATTTAACATTGCTTCTTCCAGAAAGGTTTAATGAATTTGCATAAAACCTGGAGTTTTAGGGGAAGGAGGTGTGTAAAGGAATAAAAAAACACAAAATTGAATAAAGACAAATACTTCCAACTTCCTTTGATACAGTTGCAAATTGTATATATATATTAACTTTTTGACCTAAAATCATAAGTCTTGGACTTTTCAAGTTGGCACTTTTCATGTTCACACCTTGTCTGTCAAAAGAAGGACTAGGGTTGACATGATAGCTGTATTCTAATGTCTAAGGGGAGGGGGGTGGGGAAGTGTGGGGGTGTCAGCTTATTTTCCAAAGCACCTGAAGGCAGGATAAGAACCAATGGATAGAAACTAAACAAGGAGAGAAGGAACTTATAAATAAGGAGAAATTTCCTGAAAGTTAGAACAATTAATCAGTGGAATAACTTGCTCCAGAAATTGTGGATGTTCCAGCACTGGAGGTTTTTAAGAAGAGGTTGGACAGCCACTTGTCTGAAATGGTATACTACAATGGTCTTGTAGTCCAATGCACTGCTTGACCAGTGCATTGGACTACAAGACCACCAAAGTCTCTTCCAACTCTATTATTCTGTTTTCTATTCTGCATTTGTCCAGAATGATGTTAATTACCTTTTAAAGGTCACCAGTAATATGTGATCTAACTGAGCACAAATCTAAAGAGTAAATCCTAATTCAAAAAACAAGTCAACATGTTTTGAATGTTCAGAATGTAGTTAAACTAGCCCAAAATTTTACAAAAATACGTACCTGGTTAAATCTTGTGGGCCATTTAATAGAGTCATCATAAATACTGAGCGATTTAGAATAGGAAGGGTCTGGGTCTATCCATCCAACTTTGACTTTTGCGAATGTGTTATTTGAGTATGTGACCCAGTTGAAAATATCAAATCCAGCAATTATATGTCCCTTGTTATCAAAGGAAATGTTTTCGCCAGCACTGTTTTCAAAGAAAGTACTTCTTATAAACCTATGGAACTAAATAGGGGGAGAAGTTGAGAGAAAATGATGATATGAGACACTGTTCACAGTTGAAAACTCTGGGTAATGGTCCAGACATTACATACATTGCTGCAGAGACCAATATTAAGCATGCAAGATATCATAAAAGCACTCATTTCAATTAAAAGAAGAAGAAGGAGAAGGAAAAGGAGAAGGAGAAGGAGAAGGAAAAGGAGAAGGAAACGACATTTTCAGTGAGTTGTTTAGGTAGTAGGGTCACATTAACAAGAAAAGCTGAGGTGACACATTTGA